TTGGAGAGGTTCATGTGAGTGACCACAGCTGCATTTTCTTTAATATCCTACCTCATGTTGAATCTGTCCCTCACAACCTAAAATCAAAGAGACGTATCATTAATCAGCAGTGGATGGATTTTCTAGATTATTTGACAGCAGCTCAGTTCAGAGTGATGATCCAAGCTTGTTCATTCAGTTATTGGATAAACAATGCTGCAGCGTTTTAGATAAAGTAGCTCCTGTTAAGCAGGTTACTTTTTCTAGCAAGAGAAAAAGTCCCTGGATTAATCAAAACATTTACAGTATCTGAAGGACATGCCGCAGAGCCGAGAGACGTTGGAAGTCAACTAGATTAGAAAGTCACAGGCTGTACTTTAAAGAACTGATAACATCTCTGAATGAGATGGTGAAAACTTCCAGGGACACTTACTTTGCTCAGCTGATTGCTGTAAACAAAAATAACCCTAAAGTCCTGTTTGACACCATAAACCAGATTGTTTCTCTTCACGCCCCTCTTATGCCAGTTTACTCAAGGTCTGACTGTAACAACTTTCTAGCATTCTTTGAGAATAAAATCAGAAATATCAGGGCAAGTTTTTCATCCCCCCTCTCAATCATGGTCCGCCTTTACTCCTGTATATTTCCAGGACATTTGCCTCATTCAGAAACACATGAAACCAACCTCATTCCCTGCTGATTTCATTCCTACTACCTTGTTAATCAGGATGTTTGACCAAATTGGCCCATGCATTGTAGATTTTATTAATTCATCCCTACAATCTGGCTCTGTACCATCTGTTTTCAGACATGCAGTTTTTGATCCTATCCTTAAAAAACAAGTTTGGACTTATCTCAGCCTAAAAACTACAGACCCATTTCTAAATCACCCTTTATCTCTAATAATTGGAAAAGGTTGTGGCAGATCAACTGATTATTTTTCTGGAACGACACAACAGTTTTGATAAATTACAGTCTGGTTTTCGTAAAAAGCATTCAACAGAAACAGCTTTGCTTAAAGTTTCCAGTGACATCATGATGGCTGCAGACAATGGGGAGGTCACAGTGTTAGTATTGTTAGATCTTTCTGCAGCTTTTGACACTGTTGATCACTGCACCTTAATTAACAGACTTGGTGACTCGGTGGGGATCTCTGGAACTGTTCTAGACTGGTTTAGATTGTACCTTTCTAACAGAAGTTACAGTGTCTGTATAAACCAAATCATGTCAGATTCTACTGATCTGTTCTGTGGGGTACCCCAAGGCTCTGTTTTGGGTCCACTGTTGTTTCTGCTGTACATACACCCTCTTGGACAGATACTTAATTATTTTCATAATGTCTCTTATCACCATATGCAGATGATATTCAGCTGTACTGCTGCTTTAAGGATTCTGAGTTCTATAAACTGTCTGAATTACTAGAGTGTCTATCAGCTATCCTCAGCTGGCTAGAAGATTACTTCCTTCAGTTAAACTCTGAAAAGACTGAATGTCTGATCATTGCCCCTGAGAGCATGGTTCCCCTGATTAGTCTAAAACTTGGTCATTTATCCTTTGCCGTCAAGACAAACTTAAGAAATTTGGGTGTTATTTTTTACCAATCAACGTCTCTTGAAGGTCACTCAAAAACGTTGGTCCGAAACTGTTTTTATCATTTAAGAAATATCTCCACACTGTGAAGGTTGGTGTCAAAACATGAACTTGAAATGGTTATCCATGCCTTTATCTCCTCCCGTCTAGATTACTGTAACCCACTTTTCATATGTTTTAACGAAAAAGCACTTGACCACCTTCAGTTGGTCCAGAACTCTGCAGCGAGGCTCCTAACTGGAGCAAACAGAAGAGCACACATCACTCCTATTCTAATGTATCTGCACTGGTTACCCGTTAACTTTAGAGTTTGTTTTAGAATCCTGATTATAACTTTCAATGCTCTACATGGTCAAGCTCCTACTGAACTTTTAAAGCCTTGTGCTCGAGCCCTCAGGTCCACACACCAGAACCTTCTAGAAGTTCCAAAGACCAGATATAAAAGTCGAGGTGATCACTCCTTCCAGACTGTTGCACCCCGGCTCTGGAATGATCTTCCTTTATCCTTACGCAGTATTGGCAGTCTGGACACTTTTAAAAAACAGCTTGAGACCTTTTTATTTAAAACTGCTTTTAACTAAACCTTTAATTATCTTATTTTTAAATTCAAATTTTTAATCTTTATTCTGTTTATGAAAATTTACAATTTTATGACTTTTTTTTCCTGATGTTAGTCAAATTCTGTTTTGAGAGCATTTTGACTGTGTGATGGCAATCTATTTATGATTTTATGACTTTGTTTCATTTTATTTTGATCTACGTGAAGCACTTTGTGATTCTATGTCTGTGATGAGTGCTATATAAATAAAATGTACTTACTTACTTAATAAAATAGGCAATTAAGCAAAATCCATCCAAGTTTTCAGCAGCCACTCCGATTTGTCTCAAAATTCTAAAAGAAACACCAGATTTCCTGAATCTTGACCATCAAAGAGGTTTTTCAAGTTGGCCAACAACCCCCTAATGCTATTGGTCTCTACTTGCGATCCCAGTGAAAATAATCCAACATTTGTTTAGAAAAGATGTAAAATAAAGTAGTAATCCAAGCAGAAGCTGTGTAACTGACTATACTCAGGTATTTGTTTAGTAAAAATATAACATTTGTTTTTTACAGCAGAGAAGCTGATAATCAAACATCCTTAAGGACAAAGCAGTTTTATCATTAGAGTTCTGCTGACATCTAGCGGTCATTTTGGGACTGTACACATTTAACCTCAAAAATTCCCTTGCTGGCACTTTGACTTAGCCTAGTGAACTAGACCAAATTCTTGCTTTGCAAAGTTTGTAAATAATGGACCGATAACTAAATAATACATTTATTTAGTCTGGCTTGCCAGGCTAACCATGATTGGCACTGTCTCAACATGCTTCTTCAAATGGAATTTCATTTTTATACCTGGCAGCCATGATGCAGTCAATTTCATAATCTCTATTTTATTATTTCACTTTATTTCTTGTAGTTTCTTTCCTTCTTTCTTAATAAAGAAAATAAATAAATAAATAATGAAACGGTGGCTAAAGTATCTGTGGGCTATTATGGGATGCTCTATGACTGAATAAGGTAATGATGTAATTCTCTCTGTTAAACATATTATCCATGTCTGCTTCTTCCACTGGATCTCATGAGTCATTATGATGAGTCATGATGTGGAAGGAGCTGCAGCAGCAACATGTGATCAGCCTTAATGACTGTAAATGCATTTGAAAAAAGAGCACCAAATCAAATTTTAGATTTTATCTGCAGCCAGTGTCTTGCAAGAATTCAAAGAAGTGAAACACGGTGACATATTTGATAAAAGATTTTAGCCAAATCAGAATCACAAATAATAAAAAAGAGCATCAGAGATTGTATGGACCTATTTTCTCTTTCATAAAAGGAAAAAAAATCTGAGTGTATAAATAAATTACTTCAACAATCAAAAGCAGCATTAAAAGAAAAAAGATTTTAGTAATCCAAGCTTTTGTAAAACTCTTAAAAAAAGCAAAATCTTTTTCTTTCCTTGTAATCAGGATCATTCTAAATTATATTGCATCACCCTCTTCTTGTGCATATTGCACAGAGATGAAAGAGATTTGACTTAGTCTTAAATAAATGAGAAACTCAAGAGCAGCAGGTAATTACAAAGATTTATTTTTTCTCTTTTCGGTGGTCGGTCCACTCTAAGAACAAGGCCTGGAAACCAGATCCCACGCTGCAAACGTGACTGGTCGCATGGATTACATTACCGTAATTAGCCTAAAAGATTCGTCTTTCTTTTTGGTTTATGCCATTAATGCGAATTTAAAATAGGATTGTTTCAAATCCAGCATCTTTTAACGGAATTTAGTAAATTAAAAACATACATGGCTTGAAAGGCCACAATATTACCCGGATGCAGATTTAAAAAGGAAGCTGTGAAGCTGCTTTTATGTGAGTCAAGGAAAAATGAAAGTCTAGTGATACACCACTTCTGGTTTAGAGCTTCCAGTTCTAACCCAACTCTGACCTGCAAATATAAATTTTGGCTAAGTCCGATTTATGTCAAAATGAAAAAAAAAAACTAATTAAAACTATCAAACAAACAAGGAATACCTTCATTGTAGTAATAATATTGTTACATAAACTTGTTAATAGCTACCACATGCACATAGACCTACTAGATTTGTCATGTTGCGAGGGTGGAGATGGCGGACCAAGTGTGGTGGAGGGTTAAGGAGGCAGGAAAGCAGGCACTTTTTGCTTTTATTTTTAATTATGTACTATTTGCTGATTCACTTTTCCCATTTTGTTCTCCCCACAATGCATGGTCTGTCACATACGATACAAATAGGATGTCTATATTATCAGCCAAGATAAATGTAACAGAGGAAATGATTGACAAAGGGTTTTACTCTATTGATGACAATTATACTTACCAGTGCACAAATCTTGTATACAACTTTTCAGCTACTTTTCCTCTCAAAATGTCAAACTATGACAAATTCAAGGTTTAGTTTTTGACATTTTGTCTCGCACAACTGGTCAAACTTAAATAGAAGTTGACGTCAAATTTTGCAAAGATAGTATTTAAAGTGTATGATACGAGAAACGGGATGAAGTTACCTAAAGTGAAATTCTCATACTGATAAAAATACATAAATAGTTTTAACTATACTAGTATGCCAGATATCTGTTAAGAAAAATATCAAAAGCCAATACCAAAATTAAAATTAAATCATAAAACAAAAAACAAAACAATCAGAATTCATAGCACTAAGCTAGTTGACTCCCAGGAATGCCATATCAAATTAATTATATAATTTAATTAAAATACATAAAACAAACATGTGGAAATAGCTGAACTATCTGAACTAAAACGATCATTTGTAAACTCTGTAGTTCACGAGCTGTACACAAACGCAACACAGAGGGGAAACAGCAACAGAGAGAATGTGTCTGTGCATCTTTTAGGTGTTTTACGGTGTTTTGCCCTCCAGTTGGATCTGGACGTGGCAGCGCTTACAATTGCTCTCTGTACATCCTCAAACCCTCTGCGGTGCAAAGCGTGGTTTCGTTCACGCACCAGAGCGTGACAGTTTCGTTTTAAGCCTTCCAGGGTAAAGGTAAGATGACATTAATAGATGATTATCTGCCGCAGAAGCAGGATCTTCACACCATGTTCGTGTTTCTCTGGCGTTATTCCTCCCGAACATGCTGCATGGCTGTTTAGACTCAGCACGCTCCAACAGGCTGTTTCTGCTCGTTCCTCAAATATGTCGGGTCAAAGCCCGTTCTGAAGACTAAATAAAGTAGAAACTGAGACATTCTGCTACAACAGGAATGTTTTCATCCGTTGTTGCATTTTAACTCGTCTGGCTACAACGCTGCAGCGAGGGGAAAGTTTTGAAACTTTGCGCGAACTTTCTGGACGTCTGTGTAAGGGGGGTCGTGTTTTTACGATGTTTACATTACGCACACGCTACATAGCGCACGTTTGTTTTTCACTTGGAGCTTTAAACGTGCAGGCAGACGGGAAACGCAAAGGAACAAGACGATCTGAGATGTAACATTCTAGAAACTACTGACGTCACTCACTCACCGGGCCAAGCCAGCTGGAGAGGATAAAGATGTTCTGTTCCAGCAATCCCACAGAACCAATGAAACGTGTTATTATCTAGTAATAACTAAACTGTCCTGATGCAAGCATTTAAGAAATAACCAGAGGCTGGCTTACTGGTCAACATGGTGACTGTTTTTTTTATAATAAAAGCAAAGGCCATGCCCAAGGGCTTTGTTCCAGTTCTGCAAACAGATCCTAATGTGTCCAGTACAAAAGGATGCGTTCTTAATGGGTTGCATGACCCTTAGTGATGTGTTTTAAACAGTGCAGTGATACTGACTGGATACAGCAATAATAGAAAGATGCCATCAACCTGTCGGCTGTGCAGAGTCAAAGCTGCAGGGACAGAAATTCAAAATGTATTTATTATTTAACTAAAGATGCATGTTTGAGCCTCCGTGTTATCATTTAAACATCAGTCTATTAATATAATATCTGCAGCAGTTGGTTTTGGATTAATGGTTTGTGTCTTTACTACAATTAGGCAAAAAAATCTGCTTTATTAGAAAAAAAATTCTTTTCACTGATTTCATCCAGCAAGCACTGAACTTTGTGGGGAAATGCGTACTTCCTTTTTATCAGACTGATGGCGCTTTTGCAAGGTTCACAGCAAAATTGACCCATGGTATGTTTTTTTTTCTCTCAATAATTTTTCATGTTTAATGTCATTTTTAAAGGAAGTGAAAGCCAAGCAACATTTGTATTGTGCAAACAATGAGTGCACTTACTTTAGCGTAATACTGACATGCTAAGTAGAAAATCTGTTTAACCCTTTCAGGCTCAAAATAAGTTTTGATGAAAGGACGAACAACTAAGTCCTTCAGGGGTACTTCTGAGTTAAAAAAATGCTCATGAAACACGTATGTGGAGTAACCAGTTAGGTAGGTATTAACGTTGCAACGCCTTCCTCCAGAGGGTTAAAGAAATGTGAGAAAAGTTTAAAGTTTTTGAAGCAGCACAAACTGGAACATGTTGACTGTAATAAGAGCTGAGTGTATGTTTCAGGTGGATTTATTTTGTGCTTTTGTTGGAAATGAAAACACACTCAACAGCTACACAGAAGTGCTTGTGTTAGATTTTTCCCCTGCATGCAGATGGACAAGAGACGTTCAGCATGTTCACAGTGTAAATATGCACATGTTTTATCTGGTGTATTATTATGCATCACTCTGCACATCCTGCATGGTTGTGCTTAGAGGAGGAAAATGCATGCCTTTTAGGAGAGAATCTGTTTAGCATCGATATAATCTCGCAGTCCTGCAGCATGTGTACACAGCTCAGAGTGAAAACAGCCGGTGAGCAGCTTTTCTCTTTTCTCTGCTCAGTGGTGAAAGAAGAACTAGATTTTTTTTTTTACTTAAGTCCAAGTACAGATAAAGGGGTGATAAAATACTTGGAAAGCGTGCATCCCTGAGAATTTTTTTTTTTTTACTTAAGAACAGTATTGAAGTACTTTTACTTTGTTACTGGAACTGCTGATTTAAACTGTCTCTTGAAATGTGAAGTCTGAAAAGTGTTTCCCACTTTTAAAAGTAGCATGACAGTTTTTAAGCAGACCCCCCCCCCCCCCCCCCCAAAAAAAATCGGATAAATGTTTTCCTTAATTAGTTTGCTGAAAAGTGTTCCTGAAATCTTGAACTTTGTTAGTAAAGCTGAGCTGTGTGTAAATCCTCCAGCTGCAGATGTTCTAGCATACTGTAGACAGGTTTACTTTCATATACTTTCCAGTTGGCCTTGCTGTGACTAGAGACAGATGTTGCTCATATCATCCATAATACACTCAGTGGCTCTGCTGCAGATGTTGAAACGTTCACTGTTAGAGTAAATGTTTGTTCTTCAGCAAACCCCTGCTCCATTACAGACCTTGCATCCTAACTGCTTTACCACAGTGGGTTATTTTTATCTCTATCATGGAGCCACACCCACTAAACCTGCCCTAAATTTAACCGAGCTGAGATTCAGCTGCAGGTTGTGAAGTTACATGTGGAGGAGAACCACACCACAGCACAGGTTCTGCTTGTCTCCACTTACACAGCTTGCTGACATTAAGTTTTATTTTTAAAGCTCCTGTGCTGCTTTGTGCAGAGGTCAGGGACATGCAAAGATATTTTTACACAACAGAGGTCAGGTAAGGACTAGGGGTGCACCGATACTGGTATCGGTATCGGTGCAGATACCGATACGATACTGGTATCGGTATTGGTAAAAGTTAACCGATACCAGGAACCGATACCAATGCAGTTGCTTGAAAATGGCTTCACTGTAACTTGTCATTTTTGTTCACCTAATATTTTAGTTTTGTGATGATTTCTATTCATATATTTTACTTTTTATCTACCTCACAGTCTTTTCCTGTTGAAAGCAGAGAAGAAAACAAAATCTGTATTCCAAATCATTGCATTTTTTTTGTGTGGTAGAAGTATAGGTATCGGTATCGGTGAGTATTCAGATCCAAGTATCGTTATTGTATCGGTTTGGGAAAAATTGGTATCGTTGCATCCCTAGTAAGGACATTTCTATTACATCCTGTCCTCGGTCCGATCCCCAAGGCCTTCCAGAGATGCCAAGCCTGGTTTAGATCCCAGAAACATCTGGAGCAGGATTTTCCTCCAGGAATGTGTCATGGCTGTTTCAGCCTGCAGCAACAGGCGCCAGTGTGTTGGAGCTGAGCAATCACTCTGGCTGCAAATTACAAGGGGTGAGATTTGGTCATTTATTATCTGTTTTTAGGACTGCTGCAATAATTATCCAGGCCAACACTCCCCGAGAAAACCAGAGATGACTCCCAAAGCCAAAGCAGGGCTTGTATAAATAGAAATACAAGTCAGAAAGTTTATTATCAATAAATGTCATGTTTAATCTAGCAGATCAGGTGTGAAATCAGAAAACTCTGTAGCCTCACAAGCTAATATTCATGTTTTACTAGCAAAACACAAAATAAACTAGATTTCTTTGCATTTATTGCAATTTTATTATAAAAGAAAATAGTCAGGGCAATGCTTACCAGCTCAGTGACTTAGTGGTAGGGTGTCCGCACTGGGACTGGGAGATCAGAGTTCAAATCCCGGTCGGGTCAAACCAAAAAAGTAACATAGATCTACGTCACACTGTAAATTTGGATTCATGGACTCACGACCCGGTAAGTCTCTGTTAAATTTTGTCTCCAGGAGAGAGCAGAGCGCTTTTTGACAAATAGAAACTAACCATTAGCATTAGCAACTCCACAACATGGCGGAACAGGTCCAGACTTGTGTGATTTGTGGAGATCAAACATATGTTGCAGTTTTTACACAAGAACAAAAGGGTGACTGGAGGCAGCGGAAGAGTTGCGTTTCTGTTAGCCAATCGGGGGGAGATGTTGGAATATCATGAATATTAATGAGTAAGACTCCAAATACTGTTTTCTGCATCCGCTCCTCCTATATGACTCCTTGAAATGACCTTATAGGACACCCCCCACTCCTGAAAGTTTGCTCTGCAGTTATGCTCTCCAAATTGGTCCTTTGTATAATTTTAAAACGTCATATGTTAGTACCACATAGCTTTTATGTTTCATGCATTAACTTAGCATATTTCTGCAGCAACATAACGTCAACTCGTGTTTTCTAAGCAGGTGGCAAAGAAGTGAAAGGGTTTGGTTTTCACCTGGAGTGTACCTTCTAACCAAAGTCTCATTATAATCCTCCAGATGATCATTTTCTGTGCAGTCTGATTATAGAGTGGTGCAGACATGACAGCGCTGTGCTCATGTTAAGCATTGTGAATGTTCGTCTACGTGTGGGTGCGTGTGTGTGTGTGTGTGTTTCACATCTAAACAGTCATCACTTACGAGTCGTGCTGCTGTAGAGTTGGACACAATCCAGGAGCAGAAAGTCTAGCTTTTGTCACTTTTACAAAGTTTCTCATGTGAGAACGGAAAGCTCAAGTTTCTTTTGCCTCAGATAATATTATTCATGCAAACGCCAGACAGCAAAGTAATAATAAACATAGAAACAATAGGTTACACAAAGCCTTCTGCTTTTGATTTTACTTGCTTTATATTCTTATGTTAAATTTTATTTAATATGTCAAACTTAACTGAGTTTGACAAACGTAATGTGTTACTATAAACTGAGGTTTAAACATGTTTTATTGTTTAATGTTTTATTTTTAGTCCAACCTCTGTTTTCAGCCATGGTTTGTTTTATCGTGAATATCTCTGGCCATCTAGTGGCCGTGTTAAATAATGTAAGGTTTCAGCTCACACTGACCCCTCATGCACATTTATTATTACAGACTGCTCATGTCGGTTCTATGGTAACAGAAACAGTCGTGTTTCTTATTTCAGGTCAAGAATCAGGACAAAATGAGGAACTTCCTGTCGATCGTGTCCTGGGTTTGGTTCTACTGCTCCTGGACAACACATGGAGAGGTCTTTACATCCATCGGTGGGTTACAAATCCCTAATATTTAATTTAATTTGATTCCAAAATGTTCATTTGCCAACTGTTGGCAGATTGATTATCATTGCAGATGTTATGTAGCACTTTCTGTGGGCTCATTCATGAAGCAATACTAGAGTAGCAATCCTAATAGAAGCCCCTGTTGTGGAAAAATGTCACATGATCTTAAGTAGAGATGTCCGATATATCAGCATCAGTATCGGCCAGTCCCACACACACATACACAGTGTCCAACGTGTAGGGAAATATGTTAAATATAATGTTGGTAAATATCGGTTATCGGCCATGACAGCGATATTATCAAGTATCGATATCAGCCCAAATTTTCATAGATTAAAATATTTGTATGTGTTGAACCTCTCTACATGCTTTTTTGTACTTCATTAATTATTTTTTGAAAGACTGCTGAAGGAAGTCGAAAAATATTGTACATGTTTAAAAATACAATACGGTTTAATTTTTTTTACGTCATCTAGATAAAATTATTGGAGATGCACCGATTGTGGTTTTGAAGGCTAAAACATATTTACCTCTTTTCTCATTTATCTCAATTAAATAAATTAAAAGGACACTGTTTTTGTTCAAATTCAAATTATTTTGAAATTCATGTTTCTGGAATAAAAATATCTGTGTTTGATAAAACAAACTGGCTCTTAGTGAAGGTGATGGTTCAGGGACAAATGGAAAAAAATGTTGAATGTTTTATTGCTTTTTTGGAAATGCTGCATTCAAAGACTCAAATAAAAATCAGACGTTTAGGTTTCAGGTTAGTTATTTACCAGTTAACTCAGTCAAACTTAATAGTATCCAGTTCTGTTTATTCACTGGTTTGTTTTTTGTTCTTTAAAAAAATACATTATGAATTTATGCATTAATTCTATTGATATGCTGTGAAATCAGGACTAAAATGTATTAACACTCAGTTGTATGAGGTAAACCCAAACTCAACTAGGGCTGCAGCTATCGAATATTTTTGTAATCGAGTACTCTATCGAATATTTTTTTCGATTAATCGAGTACTCTAATAAATTACCCTTTTGTGTTTGTAAACCATTATATCAAATAGCATGTTATAATTATGAAAGACCTCTTAAAATGAGCAAGCAGTTGCCAGTTATTCTTCAAGTTTTATTCAAAATTAGTTTGCAAAACTTCAGCACTTCAACTTTACTTCACAGTAAACAAATGCCTGTGCAAAAAATAAGTACACAACTTGAGCCGATTTTCCCCTCGTGCGAGAATCTGCTAGCCTGCAAGCCAGAGGATAACTGTTGAAGTAGCGCTGCGAGCGGCTGCGGCCCAAACAGAACCAGAACCGCTCATGGTGCATGCGCAAACAGCTCGCCGGCTGTTTCCCTGTTAACACACGTCCGTTTTAATTTCAACACTTTTTTTCTCACACAATAACAAGGATTGTCGAGAAAGCATGTTTGCCGTGGTTTTGTCAAATTATACTGATCACAAAACATTTATTTACTTTCTTTCGTTTTCCTCTCATAAATACCAGTCCTGCTGCAGCAATCCCGAGGGACAACAAATATCAATAACAACACAGTAAAAGTCCGACGTTTTGTGTAAAAATGCTATTTTTTAGCACATTTTAAGTCCGACGTGTTGCTACCAGACGTACGGTGTGAGCTGAAACTAGAAAAATGTCACGTGTACTTGGAGAAAATTTTAGCTGGTTACAAACGAAAAAGTCGCACAGTGTCGGCAGAATATATAGAAATACAGGCTAAAAAGCGTTATCTTGTAGAGGCTCCGAGTCCGCTTGCAGAAGTGACATTTACAGGTGCTGCAGCACGGAGGATGTGGTGTTGTGGGAGGCTAAATCCATTTTACAGTATTTTCACTGGACTACGTTTTCCACCTTACGACGTGAAAAATGGTCCCACATCTTGACATTTTCTGTCTTTTTCGCACTCCACCGGGGTCCACGTTGTCCGCCATAGCTTAAGAGAAAGTTAAGTTACATTCCCTACTCGCGTGTGCGATTCAGTCCAGTGGGCATGTGCGTCACTTATTTCAGTCCGGGTGAAACATGACCACGGGCGACTGCAAAGCCATGAATTAATTAAATATGAATTAAACGAATCCTCGAGGCAGAGAATTTGACTCGAGGATTTTTTGTACTCGAATTATTCGAGGTACTCGAGGAATCGTTTCAGCCCTAAACTCAACCCCAGTGACAAGCAGTAAAATCTTTCATTTAAAGCATTTTACTTCTAGAATCATAAATCTCAAGTTGACCAGAAATTCATAAGCAAAAAATTATCAAGTGTTTTGGTATTTTAAATAATTACAGTAAAATCAGAAATTGGTATCTGCCCAAAAACACTGAATCAGTGCTTTTCTATGATCAAGTAAATATTCAAATAGATTTTTAAAGATTAGTTTAATTTTTTGAATTTGTTGTGCCCAAAAAAATTCTAAAATGCTTCAAAAACAAAAAAATTTATGAGTTTTTTTTTTTTTTTTTGCATTTTGCGAAACTTTTACATCATGTCTCGTATTTGGTTGCATTGCAAAATGTCTCGCTCCACCCTCCTGGTCAGTTGTTTAGGTTGAATAAAGCCTGATTCATGCTTCTCCGTCTGCGTCAGTGCGGAGACACGCAATGTCCTTGCGGGCCTGCCGGAGAGCTCCGCAAGGACGGACGGCGTCGAGCTCTCTTTTCTAAACATCCGTCAGTCGAGACGGACAACGCAAGCTTGTGATTGGTCAGGACGCCGCTGTTGTCTACACCACCGGCATTGCGCCCTCAAAACCTTAAAGAGAGCCGAGGATAACTAGCGGCAGACATGGAGCAGCTTGAAGAATACCTCGCGAACAAACTCTAAAAACATGAACTTTTAATTCCCCGTGACTGGAGGAGTGAAAATATATGCAGCAAGCGTTTTATTTGTGGACGGAAATGACAGGAAACGTTGGTTTAGAGGTGGCGAGCGCATGAAGAGGTGGAGGAGAATGAGAGACAAATTTGTTGGTGTTAAAAAGTCTCTTATATACACAAAAAATATACACAATATAAACACACTATCTTGGACCGATACATGACAGGATACCACAGAACAGCGCTACGCCCTCTGTTGTCCTGCTGGGGAATTGCTTTGCAACACTCTCCAGGAGACGAGAAGTATGAGAGCAAAACGCTTCCGTCAATCCGTGCGTGTCTGTCTCTTGCGGAGCTGACGGAGAAGCATGAACC